CGATCCAAGGTTGGATGGGGAGACGCCAGTGATAACGACTACCAATACTTAATTAGTTAATCTGATACCAAATATAAAATCATAAATCTGCGCAAGATTTTCGTAGCTGCTTACTTGTTTTCCCTACGATCTCTTCGTGGAGGAGTTGGGCAACATCATCAGCATTAGTGGATTTGCTGTAGTCGGCGCGGGAGAACGACATTTTGGATATTATTAATTTCTTTCTCGTAGCAATTTATTCTGTAAAATATGTGTAACTATTTCAAAAATTTGGGTTCGAAGTGCTGATATCGCGATGGTGTATATAATAGAAGGTCGAAGATATAGCCGGTTAAATAATAAAGAGATATATCTTAAATTTATATATATGTATAAGTATTTATTGGTGTCTTGAATGTGCTATTGATGTGATAGGCTAGTTGACTGATAGTGATGATAAAGAACTACTGCCCCGATGCTGGGAGACTCGATGCTTTTTATAGGAGTTTCATGGTATATACTTGTCAGTCGAAAAAACTATCTCCAAAATTTAACTGGCCATACAACTTTCAATCCCCGTCTACCACAAAGAGCTAACAAAAACCCAAACCCCCAAGAAACAATACGGACACTAGCCATCTCCAGCTTCGGACACATGGTTTCGGCCAGGCCTCGCGTATTCCCGGATATTTGCACCGCATAAATCCACCCATGTTCGCGCTTCCCGTTCGCCGTAACGAACCTTAGCTCGACTACCATGTTCGCACACAGTTCGCTGTCTTAAGTCCTTACATACTCCGCAGCTAGGATGGCGCTAAGGACTTATGTAACGCAAGTCCGTTGCCATACTCCGAAAACTCCTTCTTGCTGCAAAGGAAACATAAGGCCCGTGAATTCCAGTTTGAGAGACCCGAGCATGGTTTTTTTTTCTCTAAAAAAATGAAAATTATCGACCAAGTCACAAAGTATCGAATATCAACAGTTTTTCGTTCTTTTAGCGTAGGAAAATCGGACACAGCGGCATCCTCTATGGAATTTGAGATCCGGAGTTATGAAGTAAATTGCATTATATTGAGTACCAAATTCCAACACAATGCAACACATTTACCTGCAGCTGAGGGACATAGGTCTCTCGCACGACAGGAACTCTCGAACGCTAGGCCGCTGCAAACACCCCTCGCGAGCTCGCAAATCATAGATAGTTCTGCTAGGGCGGAACGAGATCGTAACAATCCATGTCACATTTTCCTTAGACTCCTAAGTCTCTCCCGTTTATTTTCCAGGTTTCGCAATATTTTACCTCAGGCACCAACATACCCCACCCTTTGAATACTTGGCTGCACCTCTGCATATTGGCATTGGATGGAGATTACCCCTCCATACAGACGAAAAACGCAGAGTAATCAATTGAGCCCTGAAATTAAGCAATGCATTGACATTACATTAGGAAAGGATTACGCCTACATTGATACTATCGATCTCGCCGGGTTTCCCTTGAAAATTTAAGAGTCGGTATATCGGACCAGTGCGAAGACTTACGTGAACGAGCCAGCTAGCTGAGATCCCTGTATCCCTACAAAAAACCAAACAGGTCTATCCGGACTATTGGAGGTGAGCTAGTTGGTTCGGCGCGAATAGGTGGGCGTACGACTCGGTACGACTTTGCGAATTTTATGAGATAATGGTGGGGGTAAATTTTATATTTAAAGGAAGGACTATATATATCAATAAGATTGCTTATCAAGCGATCGGTGCTGTTACCCCGTCTATCCCATGCCTTTGGAATATAAATTTTGCTAATGCATTGTGGTAATGGCTTGTAGGGCTCCAGGATTTGACTTAAAATCCCAATCGAATCCCGGTACCGCACTGGGTAATGTAAAATTTATTGTTGTATTTGGTCGATACTTTGTGCTACGTTCGCTTACACGAGTAACGTAACACCATCTCGAGACTCGATCATGACGACACACTCTGAATTCATACCCATTGTTGCACAACCATCATGGATATGATTTGCTCGTCGGCGTCATGTATCGCTGCGATCTCCCCAAATTCTTTTGTTTTAAAAATTTCTTCTATTATTTAATCCGGTCACTCTTTGTGCGGTCTGGGTACGAGACCATATTTAATCACATTTTAGGAGCGAGCTGAGCGATATCCGCATATCAGCGTACGGTCCTTCGACTTCGGTAGCAATTGAACACACTAGTACTGCATTTTCAAGCCTGCTCTCAAAGGACCCTCGAGTTCGGGTTTTAGACCATCATGATCAACGCAAAGCTTTTCTCACCTGTTGCAGTTCGGGCACCCCTGCAAAACATCCGCCCAGGCCCACTAGTTACATGCAGTTAGCCAGTTGGCCGTACATACCTCACAAGCAAATCCCAATTCATACTCGGGGTACGATATCGAGAAATTGGCCATGATAGCAAAATTCCCGCAGCTGAATGTGGGCACTAAAACCGGCTTAGCCGTTGGGTAGCGGTGGGACCCATCTCTGCCAACATCGGGCTCGTTAATTCAGCCTTACACAAAGTGCTTTTCGTGAGGGTGAACAGTTATAGCTTCGGTCGTCTCACGGTACTTTCCATACATGGCTAGTCTGCAAGGCCAACTCGATACCCCCTGGGCTGAGTTATGGCATGCGGCTGCATCGAGGCGTTAACGGTTTAACGGCAGGCCTTTGAGCTATACGTATGCCCTTGGCCTTGAGGGGTAGCTTGATGATAATGCCAACAGAGGAGCTTGTTGGAAGCATGTGCAAATCAGAATCTGTTGCTTTTCTTGCTAGTGTGTTCTTGTGGAGTCGTCAATTGTGTACAAAAAGAAGATTCCTTGGTATGCATGGATATACGACGTTATTAATGTATTGTCTGGTGGACACAATTGACATAAATTGCCCATAATTCCCAACCTCCCCGGGCATCCTATAAAATCTTCGAGATCCTATCGTGCTGTTATTAGACCCTATTGCCGTTCTTTCCATTGAGTATAACCGATATACTTTAATTGCACGGATTCCACTTTCACTAAGAAGCTCTCAGGATGGCGACCTCCACATATCTATCTGGCCCTTCCAATGGGCAGGTAGATATCTCCAAGAAAGTCAACAAGATCAAGAAGCGCCTGGTAGTCTGTTGCGATGGCACCTGGTTCTCGGCTGACAAGGGCACGATAAACATGCCTTCAAATGTTGCTCGAATCAGTCGCCTCATCTCCAGCGAAGGCGAAAAGGACTTTACCAACGATAAAGGTGAAACGGAAACTGCTCCGGTCACACAGATTATCTACTACCAGAGCGGTGTGGGTACTGGAGATGTTTCATTTGTCGACAAGAGGATGCAAGGTGCTTATAACTCCAATGTTTGAATCACAGTTTAATATAGGGTTGACTTTGACGCTGACATGAAAACACGTTATTAGGTGGTATGGGATTCGGTCTCGACGAGAACGTTTGCACGGCGTACAATTTTATCTGCAACAACTATGCCGACGGCGACGAGATTCTCCTTTTCGGTTTCTCTCGAGGCGCATACACGGCAAGAGCTCTTGCGGGCCTGGTAATGGACGTCGGTATCATCCCACCTGGCGAAATGTCCAAATTCCCAGAGATGTATGGGGAATACAAGAAGAGACAAGACCGCCAAGTATTTCAGCTCAGCGATTGGTTCAAAGAAAATGGGAATATTGTCCTTTATCAAGATGTTAAGATCTCATTCGTTGGTGTCTGGGATACCGTCGGGGCATTGGGAATCCCCGAAAGTGGGTTTTCGAGCATTACAGGGTGGAATAAAGGTTACCAGTTTTGGGATACGGAACTTCATCCTAGTATGATTCTCTCTTTAGCTGTACTCCAAATTTGTGGGTATATATAACTGACGATGGAATTTCTTTTTGGAAATAGACATTGAAAAGGCAGCACATGCTCTTGCCCTCGATGAATACCGTGGACCTTTCACCCCGACCCTTTGGTACCATAAAAATCAGGGAGATCATGGTTGGAACGCGAGGTTAATCCAATGCTGGTTCCCTGGCTTCCACGGGCACATCGGCGGTGGCACTGTTACCGGTTCTGACGTCAACCTCGACGAAACATCGGTTGACGACATTGCTCTCGCTTGGATGGTGGACCAAGTAGGTCACCGTCTGACCTGGGATCCCGTGGAGATTTAAAGATTCGTACTCTCCTACCAGCAACAAAAGTATATATGGGCGGAGGGAAATCTAGAGGACAGTGCGTCCATTGCATACTACCCCAGTGTAATGGGTGGATGGAAGGAGAGAACCCCAGGGAGATATAACCATGAAAAGACCGAGGCAGAGAAGAAGATTAGGATTCATGGTGTCCCCGTGTCGGAATTCTGGGGTACAAACGAGTACATTCACCCCTGCGTACGTTACCGTATGGGACTCCTCAACTCTAAAAAACCCAATGATCTCGGGTATACCAAGGGCTATTTTGGCAGCTCGCCGAAGAAGGAGTATAAGCCGTGGGCGTTGAAGGGATTTGAGCTGCCAGCCAGACAGGAAAAGGACGATTTTTACTGGGAATGGAGACTGAGGGACCAAGGAAAGGGTGATGTCGTAATTCGCGAATACCAGATCCCGCCAACATGGGCACAAAACTATCATTGCTTGGGCTTGGAGAGACGACTGGTTCCACCAGAAATCCTGAAAGAACTTGATGAAGGGAATAATTATGGAGAGAAAGGGCCTATTCAGTAAATGCATGCTTCTTCGCACCTCGTTTCATCGTTTTCTTGTTTTAGTATTCCCATTCGTTAGCGGTTTTCTCTTTTTGGGTACTCGTGTATTGTAGGATCACTTCGTTTTGTTTTGTAGTGTACGAGAGAAAAGAATTTGACACTTGAATACGTCTTCGAGATGGTTTTCGTCCTGGGTAGCCTCGAGGCCGGCCTATCGCTAAACATAATGCTCTAGAGCTCGAGGCGGAATTTGTAATTTGGCCTATCCAGAGTGGCTTTATATAGTCACAGTTCAGCTGAGACTTCCGATTCGCTCGTATAGCTCAGCGGTAGAGCGTCTCACTCGTATCGATTCATCGATTGGGTGTTGATGAGAAGGTCCTAGGTTCAAGTCCTAGTTCGAGCATATCTCCATTTCTTTTTGCACTTTTTTGATCCGATTTGTGGAAACTTTTTTTTTCTCCTCGCACTGAATTTAGCGAGATCCGTGTCATTCGATCAAGATGCAACATGGTCGTCAGTTGTCCCTGCGTTGTTGACGCAAATGCTCCTTTTTATCAGCCTAATAATAATTCATATCAATCTCCAGGTATATACCTATAAGTACAATAGGGATATTCAAACCTGCATAAAAGCCAACATTCCAAGCTTATTACAGCATATGATACCAGATGTACGGATTCAAAAACTCGTGATAAAAATGAGGCTTTTACTTCATAAAATTTATTCAGCTAGCTATGTTACAGGTTATCGGTGCGGCATCTGATCAAGATATTTAGCAGAAATCCTATGGCACATCCGCGTTTTCGACACAGTAGTCTACCCGCTGCACCACTGCCTTTAAGACATTTCATGCACTAAATCGCCTGCGGCTGCACCGGGGTGATTATGAGCGGCTCCTCTCGAAGCGCTACGACCATATTTAGGCGACTATACTTCAAGCTCCGTGAATTCATCAATCTTCACATAATCAGAAATATTTTGACCCGCGCGCCAGCTATCAATATCGCACTTTATGACTGGGGAACCGCGCCGGCGCCGGCCATAGAGCTCATCCAATCTCCCTATTGCCTCCGTTGCATCGACTGCACCATATCCCTTAAGAATCTCGAGGATCTTTAAGGCGCCCCCATCGTTACGCTGGCCAAGCAGACGTTCGGGGTCGTTGATTGCGGCATTTCTAGTGTCGGGCCAGTGTTGCCTTGAGAGAAAAGCTCCTTGGAGTACTACGGATTGTGCTATGCTGCCGAATTCACCACTTTCTACATTCGGATTTGCACCGGCTTGAAGTAGGAATTGGGTGACGTGGAGACGGGCTGTCCCTGATTTGGGTTGCCAGAATCTGAAGGGTATTTTCGTGCCTGTGGTCGGTATCCTTGTCTCGAATCCAGACCCTGGGGTCGGTATCCGTACCGCTGCGTGTAATGCACTACCATAGGGTCCTCCAGTAGCGTTGATATTTGCACCGTGTTCTAACAATATTTCCACGACCTTTAAAGGATGTTCTTCGGTAGCATCAGTCGGAAATTCGACCACTCTAGAAACTGTAGCTTGAATGACACCTCCATAATAACCCTTCTCTATGCTACTATCAGCCCCAGCAGCCAGTAGTATCCTAAGGATATCGAAAGGAGGGCTGCGGCAGTCTAGAAACGCCGCGGCTTGTAAGACAGTACCATAGTGTTCTACGGGGGCATTAACATCGGCACCGTGAGCGAGTAGGATCCTAATAATTGCTGTGGGTGCCACCTTTGGGGGCCTGGCACCTTCGGGGCTTATTTCCGAGCCAGTTGCCTCGTACCTATATCTAGAGGCCGGGCCACACTCGATATTGTTCTCTCGTTCGATGACAGCGGACGCACGATAAATCGCAACTAGCAATGGGTTGCCGTACCGGCTGCCAACTTGATTGACATCCGCGCCAGCGTCCACCAGTGTTTGAACAAGTCGAACGGGTAAGTGGCCGGGATCGTTTTCACCGGCTAGGTGAGCGAGGTTCTCAAGTGCGGCTTGTAGAGCGTTCCCAAACTCGCCCCCTTGAGCGTTGACATCTGCCCCGGCGTCTAGCAATACCCTGACAATCTCTTCTCTTTCTTCGTCGAGATTGTAATACGTGAATGCGCAAGCTGCTTGTAATGCATTCCCGTAAGGTCCACCCCTGGTATTAACGTCGGCGCCTGCGCTTAGCAGTATATTGATAATGGTAACTGTGGCATTATAATCAAAGTAGCCGAAGCGGCTTGCGTAGCCGCGATCGCGACTTTCCGAAGCAAATAAGGCAGCTTGGAGCACACCGCCATGAGGTCCCAGAGCATTTACATCGGCGCCAGCGTCCAATAAAAGTTTTACAATGTCCGCCCTTGATCCCAGCGCAGCAGGGACTGACATTGCTGCCTGTAGTGCATTCCCGAAATCGCCGCATATGGCATTGACATTGACCCAGCCCTCAAGTAGGAGGGTCTTGACAAGCTCTCGGTATCCGCCAAAAGAGAGGATATAGAGTAGGTTTGAGTCTTCACCGTATCTCTGGTACTTCTTTCCTTTCCAATAATCATAGAGGTACTTTATAAGCCACAAAATTTTGGGTCGTTTGAGTAGCCGGTGAAGAAGGAATTGCTGAAATTGTGTCTCGGGACAGGCCAAGTTGGCGTGGTAGAATATCAGGGTTACTGCGTACCGTAATAGGGGGTAATGGTGATCCGCGTTCTGGAGAAAATCGTTGCGGTCATACTCGGGGATCTCATATCTAACTTTCCTACCTGATCTAGGTAGTAAAAATAGTAATTCAGATAAGTCTCCAGCCTCAAGGTACACCAAACAACATTCAGCAAGCTTAACGTGGCTGCGGCCGGCGAGCTGGGGAGCGAGCGTTGGGTCTAATGTCTGAAGTCTTTTGTTCCGTAATAAAAAATCATTGACCGTCTCATGGATAAATTGAACATAGCTTGACTCGGGAGGAACTTCAACCAGGCCCCTCGAACAGTTCGTAATAAACCGTATAATGGTCTCATCTGTTATTTTTGAAGGGTCGTGTCGTTTTAAACTCTCCGGATCCGTGCCAGCCATAACCCCGTAGTATAACTCCCTAGCCGTCAGCATTTTCCCCCTAAACAATACCCATTGTAGCATGAGCACCGTTTCATTTTTGTAAGGATTGTTCTTTTCTAGGAGGATTCGAAAAACGTCGTCAAGATCGACCGGGACTTCGCGGAGCCTCTTCCATACGGCTGTAATTCTCCCTTCATCGAAGACTTGATTCAGCATTTGCGTAACTAAAACCACCCACATGAAGATCCCCCCCGCCTTTCGAAGGAGCTCTTGCTCAATTTCGTCAGCCCCTTCTCCAACCTTCAGTTTATCTCGTACGTAAATGGAAATATCTTGGTCGTGTTCGACACGGCTCTCCACGATAAGCTCGAGTTTCCGTTGCATGGTGATTGTTGGGTAATGCCTGCTCGAAAGAAGCACTCGGAGGGAAGTTTTGGAGGAGAGAGCAATTGAACTCAGTTCCTCGAGGAATGATACCACCTCGCGGACCTCAGACTCATCGCATTCATCCAGGGCATCCGCGAAGAGGATAATTGGCTTCGATTGGGATGAGCGCACTGTTTGGAACATGAAGGTTTTAAGCTCCTCAGGATACCATTGCCAGTCTGTCCCCCCATGCATTTCGTCTTTTCGGATATATCTAGGGATGAATTTTCTGCAAATTTGTGCATCCTGTTCGATTAACTGACAGACTAGCGATCGGAGCATTCCAAGGCATGTCCTTTCGAGGTTGGTACCACGGGCATTAAAGAAATATGCGGCAATTGAGTGTCCTTTGAATTTCTTTGCAATCCGACAGTATTTCAGGGCATGTTTCATCAATGTTGACTTTCCCGTCCCTGGCTTCCCTTTGATCCACATTACTCCTTTGAAAGCTTCGATGTCGTGGCAATATTTCCATTGTTGAAACTGCGCAGTGTCAAAAAGCCAATTACAGGTGTTCTGGTGAGCTATAGCTATGTTACACAGCCGAGAGTCGATATCTTGAAAACTGAGGGACTGTAGGCAACTTATGCGTATCTGCTCAATATCTCGGCGCCTCCCTAAATGAAAAAGGACATTAGAATTCAAGAGGTATATAAGTTTGCTTGAGTATTCCGTTCTTGAGCTTCACCTTTGTTAGTCTTTGGCACTATATCAAGGAGCGCTTTTGCATATGCTGCTGCAACAGCAGCGGCATATCCTTGCCATTGTTTATTTTTGTGAGAGTCCGAATAATCACAAATTCCTCGTATAACGAGACACCTAAACCCATCCATAAGGCCAGCAGCTTCCATCTCAAAACAATAGATATCGTGTTCCTTCGCTAGTCGATCTCTGGTCCTCCCGTGTTTCATGACTTGGTTTCCAGAGGCGATCAGACCATAATGGATAATAGGGTCATTCGTGGGCCTGGCCTCTCGGTCAACCAGCCATTCTTTTTCACAAGAGCGGCATGTGCTCCCCCCTCTATGATCATATTCTGCCTCGAACAGAAAGTCTTGGTGCGGGCCGGGATACATAAAGGTTTTTTTGGTTTGAGGGTACCGATCCATAGCCTCTAAAAGCGAATCCAATATATAGTTCCCTTCCACCATTAATCGGGATTGGAATGTAGACACCGCAGTCAGAAGTTCCATCGGTGGTTTGTCTAAAGCACCGATTCGTTCGAAACGCCCCCCAACAACTGTCTTTCCAAAATCGTATTGCAAAACCCCAGGGTGGTTCCTAGTCGGCCTGCTGACGACAACATCTCCGAGCCTAATGTCTGCATTCTCACTTGGGACACCCCCTCCGATGCCGACCATCAAATAAAATTGTACGGATGGAAAACTGTTGCGCATCTGACTCGCGACAAGGGCGGCTGATGTCGTACCATACGTCCCGAAAGGCAGACAGGCGATCACAACGTTGTGACCGGAAACTTCCCCAAAGGTATATGTATTGCGGTCATCCTGCTGATTTGGTAGCTCGGGGTGAACGGTATTTAACATGGCCCTAGCGGCGGCCATTTCCAAAGGTATCGCGCAAATCCATCCTATGGTGTAATCGTCCCGCGAGAAAATACCGGTGGATGTCGTACCGAGAACATCCTCAGCATCGCGATCATAGTCGTCATCAACATCATCATCGAGATGGCGATGTAGCCGATCAGACATCTATAGCTAGATCTAGTCGAAAAATACCTAGCCTTGTCGGATGGCGCATTTATAGGTCATATATAAAAATATGCATATAAGAGAGAATTCCTAGCTTTGAGGACACCAGGAGAATATTGCTCAGGATGGGGTACCTCACTAATTGTAAAGAATAAGGTCGGAGATTAAGCTTAAGCCTCATCTAAGCTAGATTGGCTGTACTAGCTACTACTGTGAGGGG